CCACGCAGGGAAGTACTTCGCGAGCACTTTTCCTCATCTTCAGAGATTCTGTTGTGGAGAACCCACGGCAAAAGCATGGGGCGAAGTGCGCGCGCGCGTCGTCGCGCGCGCGTGACTTGCGCCGTAACGCCGCAGGTGTCGCAGGGATTTTCCGAAGCGCATGTTCCGACACATTCTGGTAGCAGATGGTTTTGCAAAGGGAATTTTCATATTGCTTGCGCTTGCGCCCTTGCGAATCCCGGAGAAAGCCAGGGGGGTTCAAACGGTTCTATCAAATGCGTCCAAACGGGCCTCTCGCGCGCGCATGCCATACTGAGTCGAAAGCCCTGGCGTGCGTGCTGTGGGGGGTCGGGGGTGCGATCCTCGTCAGAGGATCCCGCGCGGGCAACTCGCGCGCGTCGGCCGCGCGCGCTCGTCAAAATCCGCATCGCAACTTGCGTCGCCGACGCGACGGCGCCGCCGTCGTCGTTAGCGCGACCAGCGTCGGCGCCGCCATTGTCCTTGCCGTTGCCATGATCACCGTCGTCGCCGTCATCTTCGCCAGCGTCGCCCCCATCGCCATCGCGTCGGCCGCTGTCGGCATCGTGAGATAACCGCGCCCGCCCGAGTCGCCGACTCGCTGTGGCGCGCCCGCGCGTCAGCGTGGCATGGGGGGCGCGTTGGGAAGTCCCCGGCGGCCAGCGCCGCCGCGGCCGCGTCGGTCGCGGCAGACTAGCAGGCCAGTCTACGCGAGCCCGCAAGCTAACGCGGCCGCGGCGACGCGCCCGCCAGCGCCCAGCAGCCGTCGCGATCGCCGCCGCAGGGGTCTTGCAAGCCACGTCGCCGTTGGGCGGGCGGGATGATTGCGCGACCGGTGGAGCTGCAATTGTCAAGTCCGGCAGGTCGAATTCGTTTTTTTTCAGATAGAGGTATGTTCCGCCCCCCCCCCTGGACTTAACCGCTCGCCTTCTCGCCCTGCAACTTATACAGGACTCGGCCCCATCGCCCATTCGAAGTACCATCCCAGCCAAACCTGCAACGCCCCCCCCCCCCCCCAATTCTCTGCAACAAATATTATGCGCGCGCATCCGTGTATCGAAAACCACCAGTTACCAAGAACATTATATCAGCCAGCGCTGAGTCCAGATAGGGGGACAGGAGGTGGGCGAGAGGAGGATGGGAGGATAACGAAAAGAGGGCGGGAACAGGACGGAAGGATAACGGGAGGAGCAACATCAAGCAAGCGCAAGCAAGCAAGCGGAAGCAAGCAAACGCAAGCGAGCAAGAACAAGCAAGCAAGAGTCAGCGATCACGCGCAAGGAAGCAAGGCCAAGCAAGAGCAAGCAAGCGAAAGCAAGCACGCGAGAGCAAGCAAGCAAGTGCCATCGGAAAAAGGGGGCGTTGGAAAAAGGAAGCGGGGGGGTGCTAAAGACCAATTGCTAATGATGGGCTAGGACTCCCATAGGGCAAGCCTATTTTGATCATCTATGTATAGACGAAGCGCACGCGCGCGCGTCGTCGCGGGCGCATGCCGAAATTACTCAAAAACTTAAGGTTTCGCGCGGATTTCGAGGTCGAGCGCCCCAAGAACATTTGAAATCCGATGGTTTCGCAACGCGGGTTTTCAAGAGAAATTTGCGCTCGCGCTGTTGCGATTTCTCAAGAAACCCATGGTGTCTCCCAACAGTTTATCCGTAAGGGCTTCGCCCCCTGCCGCCGGCCCCCTCTCTCGGAGAATGGGCCATGGAAGAGCAGGTTTTGGACCATGACCCCGCGGACTTGCGTGAGGGGTGGCACCGAATTTTAGAAATTTGGCAAATCCCCTTTGTTTTTGGACCCTGACCCCGCGGATCTGCGTGAGGGGTGGCACCGAATTTCAGAAATGTGGCAAATCCCTTGTGTTTTTGGACCCTGACCCCGCGGATCTGCGTGAGGGGTGGCACCGAATTTCAGAAATGTGGCAAATCCCTGTGTTTTTGGACCCTGACCCCGCGGATCTGCGTTGGGGTGGCGCCGAATTTCAGAATGTGGCAAATCCTTGTGTTTTTGGACCCTGACCCCGCGGATCTGCGTGAGGGGTGGCACCGGATTTCAGAAATGTGGCAAATCCCCTTTGTTTTTGGACCCTGACCCCGCGGATCTGCGTGAGGGGTGGCACCGAATTTCAGAAATGTGGCAAATCCCGTGTGTTTTTGGACCCTGACCCCGCGGATCTGCGTGAGGGGTGTTGATTTTGAGCCCCCCCAGCAATTCAGACAACGCGCCCAGGTGGTGCTAAAAATCTGGTTTGGGCCTCCCTCCCCTCGCGCGGTCAATCAACTAGTTACAGTAACCAGCAAGAAGCAGAACTGTAACACTGGAAACTACAAACTACAACTGGTACAGGAAACTGAGAATCACGGGCCTACAGCCTGGTGGCCCCACAAGGGGGCCGGCGGATAACATGTTGTCCAGAACCAAGAGGGCCTTCGCGCGCGCATATCGCAATCTTTTTCGAACGCCTTTGCGCGCGTGCTGTCGCAACCTTGGCAAAACAACTGGGCAAACGGCACGCGCGCGCGTCGTCGAGCGCGCGTAGCGATATCCTTCAAAACCTTGGGTCCCGTAGGGACTTCAAATTCGAGTGCCCCGAAACATTATACACATATATACACATACACATATACATGTATATATATATATATATATATATATGTATGTGTGTGTATATATGTGTGTGTACAAATGTACTATATGTTATGGAAAATATTGGTCTAACCAGGGTTGGCCGGGAAGGTTGGCCCGATCTCTGGAGGTTGGCCAGGAAGGTTGGCCGGGTCCGTCGCCGCACGAGTTGGCATTGGGTTGCTCTGAAGGGTTGGCCGGGATTGACCAGGGCTTGGCGACGCCAATTCTTAGATAACGAGTTCTTTCTATAATATATAGTAGGTGTATGTACATGTATTAAAACTGTTATATAAATATAACGACGCATGGCTTTGCAATGTCAATCGTCCAGAAAGCCTGCGCTCGCGCTCCTGCGATTTTTTTCAGAAAACCATACTTTTTTGAACAAGCCTGATTTCAGCACATTCGGCCAAACGGGCCTCCCGCGCCGCATGTCGAAATCATTCGAACGCCCTTGCGCGCGTGCGGGGGTGCGTGGGCACAATCCGTGTCAAATAATACTAGGTGGGCCACTTTCGCGCGTCGGCGGCGCGCGCATGTCGAACTCCTTCCACAACCTTCATTACCGATGCGAGGACGCCGTCAGCGTCGCCGGCGTGATCAACATTGGCGCTGTCACTGACCGTGCCGTCGTCGTTGTCGCATCGTCACCAGCACCGCTACTATCATCATCGTGTCAACCGTTGTCGACGTTGCCGTGATACCGCGCCCGCCCCAGTCGCCGACTCGCACTGAGGTGCCCGTTGGGAAGTGCCCACCGTTCAGCACACTCGGCCGCGTCGGTCGCGCAAAACTGGCTGGCCGTTGCGCGTTCGAACATGCGCGGGCAAGGGCGGCCGCATAGATGCGACAGCCAACACCAAGCACTCATCACAATCGCCGCCTGATGGGTTTTGCAAACCAAGTTGTGAGTGGGGTAGGTGGGATGATTGCGCGAACAGTGAAGCTGCCAACTCATTACGAGCATTGGCGAACTGCCCCACATAGGTTGTACCGTCTATCTTGCACAACGGTCATTGTCCCGTATCGATTGCATCGCACTGACCGCACCACATGTATCGCACAACAAATATTGCACAACGCGTCGAGTGCACAACCCACGCTGCATAACGTAGGTTTTATGATACGTATTGCACAACGTGGGTTGCACACCATAGATGGTTCCCATGACTGCACCACATGGATTGCTCCACGCCGATAGCGCCACATCCAGTATTAGAGAAACCATGGATTGGGGTCCACGCTGGTCGCATGTGTATGTAGGATGGGGAATGCGAGGGGGCTGCATATCGATCCGCCAGGAACCCCACGGGTAAAGCACCGGATAGTGTTTTAAAAAGAGGAAATATGATGGAGGTGGTGAGATGGATTCGGGGGACGAGGGCGGAGGAGGGAGGAGGTTGAAAGGGTGAGGAGGAGGAGGAGGACGAGGAAGAGGACGAGGAGAAACAGGAGAAGGAGGAGGAGAAGGAAGAAAAAACGTGATGGTGCAGAGTGAGATGAGACAAGTGCTGGGCGAGATCAGAGGTTTTTTATGTTGCCCGCTGCCCAACGGTTATAGAGCGTGGATGGGTCTTTTCGCTGCGCGGACGGGTCCTCCCATGCTTTCGGCGCGGCCTGGCCATCAAGTTCCACGTCCATTTCTCCCTCCTCCGTCCCTCTCCCCCCTTCCGCCTTGTGCCGCTGCTCTTCGCACCTCGTCCGCTTCCGCATCCTCCCCCTCCGTTCTCGAAGAGAGAAAACGATCTTCACCGAGGGCGCATCTCTTACCCCGTCGCCTGCCCACCATCGTTCCTCTCCTCATCCATGCATCAACCACCATCCTTGACGTGCCCCCTCAAAGGAGGAGGAGGAGGAGGAGGAGGAGGAGGAGGAGGAGGAGGAGGGGGGGGGAGGAGAGGGGGAGAGGAGGAGGAGGAGGAGGAGGAGGAGGAGGAGGAAGAGGAGGAAGAAGAGGAGGGGGAGGAGGAGGAGGAGGAGGTGGAAACCATCGCGACCCCCGCCGGTCGACGAGCGAGCGCCGAACTCCCCGGGCGTGGTCTGCCCCCCTTCTGGCGGGTTCGAGATCCGCCGTTCTCGTTTGCACATCCCGACCTTTGTATCTCCTTCGAAGGGGGAGCCGGAAGGCTGGGAACGGGGGAGGAGGAGGCGGCGGGTAAGGAGGAGGAGGAGGAGGAGGAGGAGGAGGAGGAGAAGGAACCATGGGATGGAGAACGAGGAGTCAGACAGGAACGAACAGCAGCCTGAGAAGACGGATGACCTCATCCTGCCTCTCGCCGCCCTTGTCTGGATAGCCTCCCCTCTGGCGGTTCCTCTCTGGCATGGCGGCCTTCCCCCCTCCCCGTGCAACGCAGGCATGCCAGTGAGACTCCTAGAGCCGCACACGACGAAGAAGGTGCGAAGGATGATGACCTGGGGAAGAGGAAAGGATGATGATACGCTTGGTGGTGATGCTGATGCTGATGAAGCTGCTGTTGCTGCTGTTGCTGCTGATGCTGTTGTTGATGATGATGACGGTGGTGATGATGACGAGGAGGAAGAGGACGGGAGGAGGAGGAGAGAGGATGAGATGAGGGAGGTCATGCAAGGAGGAGGAGAAGAAGGGGGAGCAGGAGCGGGCCGCCAACTTTCCCCATCCTCCCCCCTCTCTTCATGTTCGTGATCCTCTTCCTTCCCATACGCAGTTTCATTATGTTCCTCTTGCCCGTTCTTCCGCTAATCTTCCGCCTCCTACTGTTTTATCTCTTCCCTTGCTCATCCACCTCCTTTTGCTCCTCCTCCTCTTCCTCCTCCTCCTCCTCGCAGGAGGGGCACGAGTGGCGAGGAGGGAATCACCTTCGGGCTGTTTGGGTGTGATCCTGGGCGGGGGTCAGGTCACCTTGGGGCCACCTTGGGCAACGTCGGGGCATCATGGAACTACTTGAAGCAGCCTTGAGGCCATCTCGGGGCCTCACTGGGAGTGAGTAGCCGAGGCGGCAGGCAATCCCATTGCACAGCCTTGGTATGGTCGTTACTGTCAGCCCCCCTGCCTCCACTATATGCGAGCCCGAACGCGCGTTTTGGCTTGCTTGGCTCAGAAGCTGAGAAGTCGACAGCCGCGCAGAGCGCAGCGGCAAAAGGGAGCGCACACCTCTCTTTGGCGTGCATCTGCTTGACGGAAAGCTATAGCCATGCCGCAAGACCTCGTGAAGGGAACATCCGTCAACAATACCTGGGAGACGAGAACCTTGAACCAGGATATCAGAGTAAGGACAACGTTCGATAGTCAGAACTTGACCCTTGACCGTGAACCGTTTTTGGCAAATAATTGGTTACCCGTTCAAATGATGACGGAACAGGCATCATGATGAGCGTCACGGAGAGCGCCATGACAGATGCAATGCCCCGACATGGAAGCAATACCATGACAACAAACACAGAACCGAATAGACTTTGTGTTCCCCCACCCCAACAGACGCAACATTTGGACGCGAGAAGACGTCGGTGGTTCACCCCCACTGTCAACGTCGGATTCGTGCAAGACGATTACGAGGGCGGCGTCAGGAGGAAGAGCCTAGCGACCCCCCCGACCTGAGGTGGGGAGTAGTAGTCAAGTTGAACAGAAGGCATCTCAGCTGACGGGGCGATCGGCCTTGTCGGGCGAATGACCTCACGCAGTACATCGGCGGACAGTCGGTGCGCACGGCATCGACTTGTCGAGGAATCCTCGCGTCGACGTCGAGCCGACCGAAGCCGCTTGCACGGACATCTCGGCCAACGAATAGGGGCCTCCAGCATCTGTGCTGCCCCCTTTCCTCGCTTCGGAATCGAGCCAGCCCAGAGCCGACGCTGTGGAACATCGCCCGAGATGCAGGGACGCAGTCCACCAGAGACGGCACCGAAGAAGAGGCCAGTGCTCCCGGGCGTGGAAGTGCCAACTCCGACGCGCCAAGAGAACCCGCGAGGAAGACCGAGGGAATGGCGGGCCGGTGGGTGCCACGGGGCTCCGCCCTGCACCATCGCTCCTCCCCCGTCTCCGGCGTCGGCTGTCCGACCCACGGAAAAAACATATCGACAGTGCATCGATGCGTGAGATACCCCCGGGGCGCACGCTGGCCCCAGGGACTGCCGCTGGCCCACCGCCTGCCGCCCGCCGGCGCGCGCCCCTCTGCCCCGGGCCTCCCTGGGCGCTCCGGCGTCGGAGCGGGAGAGGAAAAAGCACACAGACACGAGTAATCCTCGAGTCCCCAGAAAATGTGGGAAAGCATGGGAAGTGGGGGGGAAGACAGAAACCCAGAAAATATGGGACAATATGAGGACTATTTTTATTTGTGTGTATTCATTTGCGTGTCCTGGGGCCCCTTCATCAGAGCGGGGCCAGAGGCAGCGGGACGGCGGGCGCCCGCTCCGACGCAGAGGGAACGCCGGCAGGGGCAGGCCCAGGAGCTGCCGTCTCGAGCCCGGTGCGGCGAGGGACGGTCAGGTCGGGCCGAGCGAAAGGGGGGGATAGGGAAAGGGGGGGTTATGAAATCTGCTGCATGCAGCTGGTTTCGGCCCCGCCGCCGGGCCCATTCCTCGATACATGGGCGCCTCCCGGCGCCGGGAGGCGCCAGGAAAATCAGCTACGTGACAGTGAGCTGATTCTCACCCCCCCCCCTTGCTATCCCTCCCTTTCGCCCGGCCCGATCAGGGGAGGAAACACCACCCGGACCGGACACTTGGCGTTTACTACACAGCCCTGGACGTTTGCTGAAAGCAGCCCTGCCCCGCCCTGCCCTGCCCCCTGGGGTAGGAGAACGAAGAGGGACAGGAACATCAAAACTCGGATGTCTGCGTAGATTTCCCGGTTCCGCGTCGGACCCCCCTGCCAGGCGCGCGGGGCGCGCCGCCAGGGGGTCCAGCGCGGACCTGCGAGTTTTTATGTTTATGTCATTCTTCGTTCCCCTAATAGGGGAGCAAAGATCTCCCGGCACGGCGAAGGATGGGAGGCAGTTCGACCCGTAGTGTCGTCGATAAGCACAGTCTGCATGTTCGAAAGACGCTGGATGCCGACCTCCGAGTGCGCGGCGAGTGCGGAGAGTGAGCGCCCGGGGATCGGGCCGATGTCAGGGGCCCGTCTGTCATGCGTGTCTGTAACCGTTGCAGCGTCAGTTATCTCGGCCTAAGCTTTGTCCTACAAGAACAGCATGATTTCCAGGGCCTCAGACTGGCCGAGCGGTGGGCTGCGCAGCAACGACCGGCGGAGAGGAATGCGAAACGAATAGCGGGGATGCTTCGACAACATCTGCATCGGGTTGCCGTTGGCCGGGGAGAGGGAAAATGCGCAGTTTGGGCCGCTGGGACGGAGCAGGCGGCGGGGGATGGGACCGTCTTGGACCCCTGCCCCTCAAACGAGATTTTGGACCATGGGGGAGGGGGAGAGCCAATCATCTCACACGCCTACTCACCCGTGTCGAGCGGGTGTCGGCGGATTTTTCGAACGCTCCATTGCAGATGGTCGCAGGGTAGCAGTGTTGATATTTCTTCGTCACCCCAGTGAGGAGGGTTGTTTAGGGGGTTGCAGGGTGGCTGTCATTTCACGTCGCTAACAACGAATCTGTTTCGCATGCGTTGGTTACTATGTCTTTGCTGCGTTTGGCTGCTTTCGCTCGAGCTCTGGATTTCGCGTATTAGGCGGAAGCGGTCTGGGGAGGTCCGTGGATGGCTCCAGTGGTGCGTACGGGTCTTGTGCGGTGCACACCGTTTTTTGGTGTAGACGAGCCTTGCTGTGTCCTCAGGCGCCTAAGCCTTGCTGTGTACGCAAGTTGCCCTTTGTTTGTTACGCCCGCAAGTTGTCTGCCGACGCACCCGCACCCCCCAACAGTCGGGGCGCTACCGCGGCGGGGAGGGGCGGATGGCGTTGCCGCGGGGCGAACGGCGTGGGCAGAGCTCTTCTCAGGACCAGTATACACTATGTGAAGACGTGTGGGGGGAGGCTGGAAAATGTTGGTAGGTCGTTCTGGCAGTCAGTAACCGCAGCATCCTCATGCTCTTCCTCTGCTTCTCCAGGTTTGGCTACGGCCATCTCTCTCCAGGGGTCCCGGGGGTACAGGCAGGGAGGGGGGGTTGTGAAGGGGAGGGGAGGGATGGGGAGAAGGGGGATGAGATGAGCTGAGGGGAGGGGGGGGAAGGGACGGAGTGAAGGGGGGGAATGGGATGGGGGAGAGGAGCGGGAGGAGGGAGGGGAGAGATGGGCAGCAGGGGGAGGGGGGTCCAGGCCAAACCTCCTGTCCCGTGCACCCCTTTTGCATTTTGGCGTGCTCTGTGGTCCTCCTGTCGCTGCGCTGCGCCAGCACGCGCGGCGTCATTGCCTCTGTCCGCGGTCGGCATCGCGGGTTTGGCAAAGTATCCAACTGGCGGGCAGCGCTGCCGCTGAGGATGGTCATGTGTCATGTGTGGCACATGCAGACATCGATGACCGATACCATCCTCCCTGGGCTTGTCCTTCGTGGGACAAAAGGGCTTACACATACCATTCGCATCTCTGAAATTCAACGTCCAACTGATGTTTTAGGATGTCTCAATCCGCCCACATAGGTCAAGAGGTCTGGATGGCCATCCTGGCAGGATTATGGATCTCGAACGTCAGACCTCTTTCTACCACCTGGCATCTCTTTACTCAGGTCCTGCTGAGTGGCCCTCCCCCTGGAAGGCCACTCAGCAGTTGGAGGAGGCCGGCTACATTGTCAGCGAGAACGGCACCCCGCAGACGGTCTTCGCAGAGGTGGCGCTTCCTTTCGCCACGCGTTGTTCGTCGTGTTTTCTGATAGGGATCGTGGAGGTTTGGCACATGCCGGTCGAGTGGGGAGGAGTGCATTGTATTCACAGCCGCCAATAATCACCCCTCCCCGAAGGGAAGGATGGGGGTTGGAATCACATATTCGCTAAATAACTTAACCTCGGGAGATCGTTGGTTTTGTACCCCCCCCCATTTCTCTCGGCGTGGAGCAAACTCGACCCTTCTCCTCCTGCTCCTCCTGCTCCCCTCCTCCTCACGCTCCTTCTCCTCCTCGTCATTCTGCTCCTCTTCTTGGTCGTTATCGTAGTCGTCGCCGTTGTCGTCGCTGTCGTCGTCGTCGCCGTCGACGCGGCGGATATTATTGTCCCTCTATTGTTGGGCGGGCTGCATAATGTTTGGGAACCTCAGGATGTCTCTACCTCCCGTTTCTCCTGGCGGTGAACAATCGCGCCTCTTCTCCTCCTGCTCCTTCTCCTCCTCCTCTTCCTCCTTCTCCTCCTCCTCCCCCTCCGTCCTCCTCCTGCTCCTCCTCTGACTCGCCCTCCTCGTCTCATACCTCCTCGTCGTCGGCACTCGCGTCGCGGGCCACCGATTCGT